TTAGGTAGGGATGCAAAATGGAGAGCTGAAATCATAATGAGGCATATAACTCAGCCATAAAAAAGAACAATCTTGTGTCTTTTGCGAAAACATAGATGGATGTACAAGGTATTATGCTACATGAAATAAATCAGAGAAAGTCAAATACTGTATGCTCCCGTTTACATGTGGAACCTAAAGAACAAAACAAATCCTCAAACAAAACAAAAATAGACTCATAGTTACAGAAGCAAACTGATGGTTGCCAGAAGTGAGGGATTTGGGAGAGTGGGCAAAATAGGTGAAAGGAATTAAGAAGTACAAATTTCCAGCTATAAAATAAATAAATCACAGGGACTAAATACAGCATAGGGATTATAGTCAATAATATAATAATTTTATATGGTAACGGATAGTAACTTGACTAATTGATCATTTTGTAAAGTGCATCAATGTTGAATCACTACGTTGTACTCCTGAAACTAATGTAATTATTATGTCGACTATATTTCAATTAAAAGGAAAAAAAATAATAGAGAGAGAGAGAAGACACAAATGGAAACAATTTTACATCAAGATTGGATTATATTTATAATCAAAGGCTAACACGTTTTCCCTCTCCTATGTCATATGTCCTTAGGTAAAATGAAATTCAATGAGAATAAAATGAAATATAAAGAGCTCAGCACAGTATCCAGAGCACTGTTAGCATTCAGTGACTGTTAGCTAGTATGGTGATGAGGTTGATATAAATCTCAGAAGTCTTAAAAAATGAAAATAATGTACAAAATCTTTAAAAGAGTCAAAAAAATAGTCTCTAGATTAAATTTTGAAAACAACATAAGAGAATTTTTAAAAAATCTATTGCTTATTTTATTACCAAAACATTAAATTTATCTGAAATTAAGTAGAAGTCAATGAAAATAAAGATAAGGAAATCCAGATGACTAGAAGAGTATAATAAATTTTGAAATATTTTCCCGGTTTGTGGGTCCAATAGGACTTTTGTTTTAAGATGATGCTGATAACGCTAATTTATGGAAGAGGTAGAGAAAGAGTATATATAAGTCTGTTTCTGACAAAAGTGGCTGGTGTCCTATGTCGGAATAAAGCCATAACCGTTAAAGTAATGTTCTCTTCCCAACACTTATATCTCTACAGGACAGAAATCTCCCTCCCCTCAATTTTTCTGAAATATACTAACATATAAAATTGTGTAAGTTTAGGGGTGCCTGGATGGCTCAGTCGATTGTTTCCAACTTCGGCTCAGGTCATGATCTTGCCCTGCATCCAGCTCAGAGCCTGGAGCCTGTTTCTGTGTCTCCCTCTCTCTCTGCTCCTCCCCTGCTCACGCTGTCTCTCACTGTCTCAAAAATAAAATAAAAACTATAAAAAACATTTAATATTGTGTAACTTTAAAGTAAAAGGTAATGATCTGATATTGTATATACTGCAAAATGATTGCCACACTAAGGTTAGTTAATGCATCCATCACTTCACATAGTTAGAATTTGTGTATGTGTGTGATGGTGATGAGAATATTTAAAATCTCTTTCAGCAACTTCAAACATACAACACAATATTGCTATGCAATACAATATTGCTAACTACAGCCAGCCAGAAAGTATCCTGCTTTAGAAAGGGAAACAAATGGAGAGTTGAAATCTTAACGAGGCATATATATTTTTTTAATGTCAAAATAAATCCTTTAAGTTATATTAGAGATCTGATGACTGAACCCCTAAAAGTAACTGTAATTACCATACATAAGAATATACTGTGGGGGTAAAAAACAAAAAAGGTATATAAAAAATTAATTGAAGTGGATAAAGCATTACTATAAGGCAATGCTGGAAGCATTTTCTGTATCAGGGCATAGGAGAAAATAATATGACATCCAGACAATTATTTTCCTGTTTTTTTGAAAAGCATTATCCAATAGGTTCATTTAGAGTTTCTTTATTCTGAGGGATATACTTTTTGTACTGTATCCTCATAATAACCCTAAAGGTTAGGCAGAGTTAATTTTGCATATTGGAAAACTAAAATTTATGAAGATTAATGATTTGCCTGAGGTCACATGGCCTTAATTTTTATTCTTTTACTGATGTTGGCAAATTTTCATCTAATAACTATTATTTTATTTTGTTAAAATGTATTTAACTTATTTAAGCTAAGAAAAAAAAGAAAAACAATTTACCCATTTCTTGCACCCCAGCCACCTCTTGTAACCACCACTCTCTGTATCTATGAGCATGCTTTTTTATATATGTATTTTATTCTGGGTATTAATTTCATTAATAGTTAAAATATATGCACAAGGGAAGAGGGAACATAGTTGCAGGGAAAATGGGGTAGAAAAACCTAGAGGATATCTTCCAAACCAAGGAATGAGGCAAAAGCCCTAGGGATAAAAAACATTATCTTGCTACCGAGCAGCTGAACATAATGAGCCCTGAGAGCAATCTGTGGAAGCAAAGAATATTCTAAGGTGAAAAACCTCAGACAGGACAGTAGGCAACACCCTCATAACTATGGCCACTAAAGTGGTGCCTTCACAAATAACATACCAACGTTGTCCCTCTCACCACTCAACTACCCTCAGAAACAAAATATGGAGGCTGCTTCTTAACCTCACTGAATAATACACAATATCTTCTAGTATGAATATGTAAAAAGAGGACTTTTATGAGCTTGCTTTGCTTGCTTCTTTGTTTTTTATGATTCCACATGCAGGGAGGTCATAAAGTATTTGTTTTTTTCTATCTGACTTATTTCACTTAGCAGCATGCCCTCAAGTTCTATCCACAGCATCACAAGTGGCAAATATCACTCTTTTGATGGTTGAATAACATTCCATTGTATAAATATTTCATATTTCTTTATTCATTCATCTACCGATGGAGACTTGGGTTGCTAGTACATATTGCCTATTGTAAATAATGCTGCAGTCTACATAGGAGTGCATATATCTTTTAAAATTTGTATTTTTGTTTTCTTGGTTTAAACACTCAAAAGTAGAATTGCTGGATTACATGGTATCTTTATTTTCAATTTTTAAATTTCTTAATGTCTTTTTTTTTTTTTTTAATTTCTGAGAGACAGAGACAGCATGAACAAGGGAGGGTCAGAGACAGAGGGAGACACAGAATTGGAAGCAGGCTCCAGGCTCTGAGCTAGCTGTCAGCACAGAGCCTGACGCGGGGCTTGAGCCCACGAACCGCGAGATCATGACCTGAGCCGAAGTCAGATGCTCAACCGACTGAGCCTCTATTTTCAATTTTTTGAGGAACCTCCAAACTGTTTTCCATAGTGGCTGCACCAGTTTACATTTTCAACATCAATGCACAGTGTTCCCTTTTTTCTACATCCTCTCCAACACTTGTTTGTTGTCCTTTTGATATTAGCCATTCTAATGGGTAAGAGGTAATAAATATTTCATTGTGGTTTTGATTTGCATTTCCCTGATGATTAATAATGTTGAGCATCTTTTCATATGTTTGTTGACCATCTGTAAATCTTTTCTGGAAAAATGTTTATTGTATTTTTCTGCCCATTTCTTAATCAGATTGGTTTTTATTGTTGTTGTTGTTGTTTTTGGTTTTCTTTTGCTACTGAGTTGTGGCTTCTAATTGGAAAAGATAGATCAAGAATTTGATCACAGCTATTGCCTTTACGCCAACTGAACTCATCAGGTCTTAGGTGATTATTCTCATGTCCTTAAGTACTCAAATGTCCTACATCAGTACTACTCAAAGTACTTATTGTCACTGCACAATAAGATGAGGTACTTGTACTAGAATGTAAATCAATATATTTCTTCTTTATTCAAGAAACTCTCTGTCTCTGACTCTCTCTCTCACACACACATACACATAAATATATTCACATATATATGTATATTCACATATATACATATATGGTTATAAACAATTAGTTTCCCAGGGATAATTATCTACATCTATAATATATTAATATATAATGCATATTTATACTTATATACACATAATATGTAGGTATATATTTATATATTTATAGGTATACTTTCAATTAAATTAAACAGTATGCTTAATGATATACATTACACATTAACAAACTCTGGCCTGCTAGCTGATTGCTTGTTTGGTAAATCAAGTTTTACTGAAATACTGTCATACCCATTCATTTCCATATTCCCTTGTCTGCTTTCAGTACTATGAGGCATTATATTTGTGACAGAGACAATATACCACATAAAGCTTCAAATATTTACTAGGTGGCCCTTTAGGAAATGCAATGGGGGAGTAAAGAGCCTCAGGAACATTTTGTCCTTCAGGCATGCAATGGACTGAGGCTGAACAGGTAAAGTTTTCTCTGGTTGCATTACTACCAATATCTTAATCTTGTGAGCCCTGAGCTTTCCCAGTTTCCAAAGACTACTGTCCTTACAGGGTTAAGTGGGAACACTAGATTCTGACTATTCTAGAGGCCCTCAATACCTGTCGTAAGGGCTCTACAAGGGCAGCATAAAGACTGTTCCATTAAAATTATTTGGAAAAGAGAGAATACACATGATTATGAAACGATGCCTATTCTTCTCTCTTCAAAGCTTTTTGGATTGCTTTAAGGACCCAAGCACAGAAAAAAAGGATTATTTTCTTCTTTTCCAATGTTCTTTTATCCTAGAGCAGCAAACCAATTTCATTTCACATTTAAAAATAAATAAATAACTAACAATAAAGCCTATGCAAATCACTCTAACAATTCCAGTTCAATTAATAATTAGGAAAAACTCAGTTATTGTTTCTCTAGAATAAAGTTTGTAAGAGTTAGACTGTCTCTATGGTAGCAAATGCACTTGAACAAATTTTTCAAAATACTATTCACAGTCTTCTATTTCATTTTATACTCAATTGGATTGGTTCAAACAATTGCATATTTTGAAATCCCTTGAAGGCATATTTCAGGCAAGCATAAAGCATATTTTTTTTCAAATGTATAATTGTTTAAATCTATAATAAAAAACTTCTCAGTTAACTTACATATCTCTGGGATCCATCATATTCACACCTTTCAATTTTTCCTAGGCTGCCATCTGAGAAATACAGCTTCTCGGCACGGTGGTCAATGGTGAGACCATTTGGAGTAAGTATGTCGGTACTGACCACCACTTGAGCATTTTTCCCCGTTAGGGTGGATCTCATGATACTTGGATGCTGTTCATTCCAGTTGGTCCAAAACATTAAGCTAATAAAAATAAAAATTGTGATAATATATCAAAACTTTCACTAGCAATAGAAACATTAGAAACATGGCAATGTTAAGCTATTTAAAAAGAAGCAAAATGATTTGTTTCAATTCTATGACCCTTAAGAAAGTCTAGGAAGTAAGTAGAAATGTGTATATTTTATATGTACATAGATATTTTTCAGTTTCTTAAATAAAACCTGGAAACTATTTCTTATACATTCTCTCAAGTAATTTAATTAAATTGAGTCAGTTTGATGTATAGTAAGAATTTTTTAAATCATGGACAAAACAGTTATCTTAAATTTTCTATTTACTGTAAATGTATTCTAAACTATTAATATCATGTTTCATCAAATTGAGTAAATTGTTGTAGACATCATTTTTAACCTAACTATATTGCTTTTCTTTAATTGGCAATACAAAAGTTTCTTTCTCCTTCCTGGTTTGCTTTTTAAATTTTGCATTTTTGAATATGCTTTAGAGAAATACAATTAATAAACTACATTTTGTTAATTTTTTTCTCTTGTCTTTTTGTCAGTGTAATTTTCTATAAATAACAGTGTTGTTTTTGGAATTTCAAAAGTTACTCTCAACTTCCTAAAAATGTTATGTTATTTACAGATTTTATAGAATGAAATGCTTAAATCACTATATGATATCTCTGAGGAAGCCTTACAAGTCACTGAGTATAGAGTCTGTAGAGTTCCAGTTTCTAATCCCTATTTTTACTGAAATGAGTTTTCTTTCTCTTCTTTTACCTATAGGACTGTCCCTAAGAGTTTATTTGAAGACTGGTTATTAACTGAAGACAGGCTGCTTTATATAAAAAAATATGCTTAATATATACTGACAAAGAAAAACTATTTAATATTTACAGGAAGATTGTATACACTATGCCTATGTGTAATCATTTAAAGATCATGCAAAATGTAGCCAACAAAATTTTCAATAGGTGGTTTTTGAATATTATGCAAACATTTATTACTGAACAATATCCAAGTTCACAACAAAGATCTTTCTACGTGCTTTGAAATATAGCCCCTACCACTTACAAAAATCTGGGCCAACTATGCTCTTTGTTAAAATGTTTCATAGCCTTTTCTTCTATCCTTCTAACACATAGCATAAGAGTGTTCTAAGTAGGCAAGTAAGTATCAAAAATTTTTTGTCATATGAATGAGTAAATTTGCAAGAACAAATGACATTCCACTTTCTTTACTTATGTAGTTTTATCCACACACTGTGACTTTAAAAAGAAAAAAATAAAACAATGTTAAAAAGCATTTATATTGTATGCATAAAGTATTAACCACATAAACAATTTATCTGCAGTATTTTCCTAAATTAATGACTTCAGAATTACAGAATTTCTGAGGTATTAGTGTTCCTTTAATCTCACCTTTCATTTGGAGAGGCCAGAGAGCTTGAGTAAGATTATAGTAATTGAACCAAGTTTTGAACTCAAATAGTATTTTTTTCTACCTAGAATTTAAGATTTTGTTTTAAAATTTCTGTTAATCAACTGAAAATGTTATTGATATGTATAATGAAAAAAATACTTTTATACTTTAAACTTTAACTCTGTATTTTTTTAAATTAAAACATATTGGTGTGCTTAATTCTAACTTATAGTTCACTATATGCAAGATGAAAGTGTAATTTTAGCTTATGTAATGAATATTACACAAAAACTAATCATATATAATATCAGTGATCTTTCATGATTATTTCAAAAATGTATTAGAAATTCCTTTGATTAGCCATAAAACACTTAAAATTGTGCTAAGATTCTCCTGGTGAACCATCAAGATCAATGCAGTTGATTCAACACCAAACTGTATAGTGACAGGTTAGTGCTATGAGCAGAACCAGCTCTGGCCAGGCACCTGAAGGCCTATATCCATTGAACTAAGTCACCAGAGCTGTGTGTGAGGGATCAACTTTCTTTCAACCTTCAGAGTCTTCATTAATGACATGAAGGTGTCAAGTAAATTGTCTAATCTCATTCTTAGCTCTTTAACAGTGTCTGAATTTATGAGTAAAAACGGAGTAATTTATGCAGTTCTTTCTTCTTTCAAGTGGTCAGAGTTAATCAGTAATTGTTTTTCTTCTTCCTTTTTTTTAAACCACATCTAAAAAGAGCTCTTCTTTTTCTACTTAGTGAAAGCCAGATTAGTCTGACCTTTATTTTATTAATTTAAGAAGAAAAGGACTTTCTGGTAGTTAAAAGTTATCTTAATATTGTATGAAAGTGCAAATTCATAGATGTTTTCTTTCTACATAACCCAAGCTTTTTTTCTTCTTTGTCATATAATTGCTTCCTTATGGCATCCTCCTCAAACATAAGTATCTTCTAATTTGCTTTGTTTTTTATTCAGTCTACACTATAGCCTGAGCATTTCCTCCTGTCATGAATTCTTCATAAGTATTACTATAAATGCCTGCACTATGTATCATCAAACACATGTGGGCATTTCAAACTGTGGTCAAGTATCTACTGTTGAAAATATAGCTGCAAACAAAGATTTGTGTTTGTTGTTTACTTTGCATTTCACTTGGAGAGATCCCTAGTTGTTGAAATTATTTAATTAAATTAAATAAAACCTTTTAGGTTTTGTACATGTTAATAGTTTTTTTGTTTCAAACTTATAATTTCAATCAGCTATGCATTGATATCTTCTTCATATATACCTTTTCCTTTCTTCATTTAAATTTGCTTTTGCAGGAATTCTTATCGAGTTGACACATAGCATTTCACAAGTCCGGATTCTAATTATTCACATTTACAATGCTCTTTTATATATATAAATTAGCCTTATGAATTGGGAAAAGAGAACTTCAAAGAAAACCTGTGTTTTTAAAGTTAATTCTTTTTAGCACTTTTTTTTAAATGTTTTATTTATTTCTAGGAGAGAGAGAGACAGCGTGAGCAGGGGAGGGTCAGAGAGAGAGGGAGTCACAGACCGAAACAGGTTCCAGGTTCTGAGCTGGCAGTCAGCACAGAGCCCGACGCGGGGCTCGAACCCACGAACCGCGAGATCATGACCCAAGCGAAAGTCAGACGCTAAACCGACTAAGCCACCCAGGTGCCTCTAAAGTTAATTCTTTTTAAAAATAACATAACTTTGATGATCTCTGACTTATAATGAAGAAATAACAATTTACTATTTCTTACTTTTGGCATTCATCCAGAGCTAGTACATGTGGGTGGTCATCCTCTGACATGGCAATGACTGCTTCCCTATCAAATGCTCCTGGCCGAGTCTGGTCTACTGTATGTCTGATGATGGATGAGGTAGTGGAGCTGGTCCAGTACAGTGTATCCCAGGCTCTGTGATAGGCAAGTCCTTCCACAGAACCTACATCTGATGGGGGAAAGAAAAGAATAAATTTATACTTTTACCTAAAGACATGGTTTTTGGAGAGAAAAAAGCACTTAAAATACATAGTAAAACTTTAGATTGTAAGTAACTTGTTCTGTGAATGTTCCACAAGATAGGCAAATATTTCTAATAAATTTTAACTTGATAAACAAGTGATGTCTTGCAATACAGGTAGTATGTGCCTCCGAATGTCACATAATCACTACTAACTGAGCCAATGGTTCTTGTAATTCACTTCAGTATACGAGTGGATTGTATATTTGGATTACAAGCATGTTTCTAGAACAAATTATGCTTTCAAACCAAGGTTTTATATCTATCTGCTATTTTGGCAATAATTTCTTCACAAACTCTCTAGAATAAAAATATAATACTTTTGATGTCTACAACTGACACCTGATTACACATAGAAAACTGAGCTCTGAAGTGGTATATTTGTCACAAGAGCAATTTTTGCAAAATTATGTCATTAAAGATTGAATGTTTTTACCCCTCTTTTTTAAAAAACTCAATTAAGCAACTGATTTTTATTTAATAAAATGATGTCTCCTTTTTTCATATCTTAGTAATTAACTTTCAAAACGTATCCAGTGTGAAACAATTTAGAGGTGCTTTTGAAAATCATGTTAAAGATACCAACAAGGCACAATCATAATGAATTTTATCTAAAACTATATCTGAAGACAGAAAGAAAACGTAAACATACAAAAAACTACAACAGTATCGAAAAGACAAACCCAACACCACACTTCCAACTATAAAACAATGGCAGAGAATTTTAGGTAGTTAATGTACTAAGTTCTTTGACTCTATTCAACTAATGTGATATAAAAACAAAAGAAAATGAAATTAATTACCAGCTAAGGTGTGCTTTAAATGTTTCAGAAAAGATAAATGGTAGTACACAGATTCCAATACATAAAAGTGACAATGTGAAAAACAAGAGTAATTATATCTTAAAACTGTGCTCCCAATTACCAGGATAACACAAGATAGCTGTTTTATTTTTCAGAGGTGTTTTGGGGACCTTTTTCAGTATAACCAAATTATTATAGCTTTCCCTTCATGTTGTCTGTTTTCCTCATTTAATATTCTTAGCATGCTTAATTTCAGAAAGAATATATATAGCTTTGGCAGTCATGCTAAGAAATTAAAATTACAACAGACAGAGCCTTTCTTCTGTTTTTCGCCCAAAGAATCTCAGAAAGGAATTATTCAGCTCTTCTAAAAATAGGTAGATAAAAAAGGATTATTTTCAGGTTTAAGATGTGTAGTTTGGTGGTTAATAGGAATGATTAGGAGTGCAAAATAGTATTAAAGTCTTTTGAACTAGATTTCTTTAGATGGATTAAGTTTTGTTATTTGTCGTTGTTTTCCTTACACACAACAGAGAAAAAAATCCATTAACAATAAAATTAATAGCTACCATTATTGGGCATTGTCTTTCTTCTAGGAATTGTGCTGTTTTGCATACATCACTTTATCTGTAAAGTTACTCTGTGAAGTCTTATCCTAAGAAGGAAACTGAAACCTATGGTCACAGGACTGAAGGAGTTAAAGTAAGATTTTTGACACAGTTTCATCTACTTTCAAAAGCCTGTATTCTTACAGAATACCATTTAGAGATCAGTCCATAGCCCCTATCACCTAGTCTCTACCTACCTACACACAGCTGGATCCAAACAAATGACTCATTAGTTTCAACGTGTCTGACTCCAGGTGAATTGTATAACCAGTCATTTACTATGAATGGCCTCCTCTCATACATTCAATAGAGCAATTTATAAGAGATTGATGTGGGTGATTTGTATGGATACCTAAGCCAAAGACGATGGAGAAAAATTCTTATATGCAGTCACAATAAAATCTGTTCCACTCTTTATAGAAATCATATGTGGTTCCTACTTGAGGTGAGTAGGTGGAAGGTTGGTAATGGTCAAAGGTGTTTCAGTTATTAATTAAAAAATCATCCATTCCACTGCATTTTTTCAACTTTTTAAAGTTTAATTTAATTATTTTGAGAGAGAGCACGCAAATGAAGTAAGGACAGAGATAGAGGAGAGAGAGGAAGAATAGGAAACAGGCCTTGTGTTGTCTACACAGAGTCCATTGTGGGCTCAAACTCATGAATCGTGAAGTCATGACTCAAGCCTAAATAAAGAGTCAGATGCTCAACTGATTGAGCCACCCATGTGCCCTCTTCCATTGTATTTTTCACACTTTCAAATCACGTCAGAAATGAGGCTAACTCTATTAGTAGTGTAAGCAGAATTACGCTCCTTCACCATTCACAAAGAGAATGAGAAATGACATAATTCTAAAAAAGTCCAGCAAATCACATTCATTCATCTACCCTCATTCTGTATTATCCTCCCTCTACTGCCTTTAACAGATCTTCTCCATGGCCACCTTTTCCCTGCTTTATCAGGAAAAAAACACCTGCTATCACCACTGATAGCAGCTTCACCACTGATGAAGCAAATGTTTCTTTTCCATTGCTAACAGAGTTCCAGGTTTACTGGAGTATATAATACACCTTATTGTCCAGATACAATCTCTCTCATTTTATAAATTTTATTTTGTTTTTTTTCTTACCATTTTTATTTATCTTTGAGAGACAGAGCATGAATGGGGGATGGGCAGAGAGAGAAGGACACACAGAATCTGAAGCAGGCTCCAAGCTCTGAGCTATCAGCACAGAGCCCGATTTAGGGCTCGAACCCTCGAACTGTGAGATTATGACCTGAGCCAAAGTCAGACGCTTCACCGACTGGGCCACTCAGACACCCCTCTCTCAGTTTATTTTGTAATAGATGACAACCTGACAATATTCTCAATCATAATCTGGTGCTATATTTTAAAGTATTTAAGAATATATCTTTGTTTCTCAAAACAGTATCTAATTCTCAATAAAAACTGTACGTGTCATTAACAAAAGCCAGACAAAGACATACATAAAATTAAAAATTATGAAAAATATTCTATTGAGATAACAAGACATCCATATCATTTTTATGATGCTTTCACACAATCTGGGGTTGTGTGTATGTGTGTGTGTGCGCATGTGTGTTTGTGTATGTGAATTTGAACATTAAGTTTCCTGAATCAGTGGAACAGGTAAAAGAACTTTGTGATGATATTGGTCCTGGCAGATAATTAGGTAATTTGAAAATTAAAGTGAAATGCCTATCTATTCTAAAATAGTAAACAAAATTAAACATCCTTTAGAACTCAAGGATGTAGAATAGGCATAATTAAAAAAAAAAAACAACAGAGTAAGTATAACAGGCTATTTTTGCAGCTCCATACTCTTTCCTCAGCAAAATAATTATACTGAAAGTGTGAGGCATAGCCAAGTAAAAATATTACCATTCCCGTGCATTTAAACAAAAGTGAAAGAGTTCTCTGCCCTACTGTCCTTCTTTGAGCTGGGAATTAAGTTTGGCTCAGCTGAATGAGGTCATGATATGTTTTTGTAGTTTTTGTAGAAGTAGGGAGAGAAGGTCAGTTCATTAAAAAATACAAGGCAGGAAGTAACTCAGAACCATGGCTATAGTTAATTTCTTGGATGCTAATTTCCCCCAGAAATGGGCAAAGAAATTGACTCTACTAGCCTGGCACACTAACACCCACAACTACTCTGACAGTTACCCAGGGGACTTCATGGAGAACACATCTTCATCTCCTCACCACAGTAGAAGGGACAACTCTGTCTTACCTTTATAATGTTCAGAATAAGAGCTTACAAAATGGGAAAGGCAATGAAGGATGTTTTTGGGAGGGAGCTACATGAATAAAATATTGCCATTCATCTGGTTGGAACAACAGTCACAGATTAAATTGTGTAGCCAAATTAACAGAAAATAATATTTATTTTAAGGATATGCTGGGGTCCCTGGGTGGCTCAGTTGGTTAAGCGGCCAACTTCAGCTCAGATTATGATCTCATGGTTCGAACTTGTGGTTATGAGTTCGAGCCCCACATCGGGCTCTGTGCTGACAGCTCAGAGCCTGGAGCCTGCTTCAGATTCGGTGTCTCCTTTTCTTTCTTCCCTTCTGCTGCTCATGCCCTGTCTCTCTGTCTCTCAAAAATAAATAAACATTAAAAATTTTTTAAAAATAAACATTAAAAAAAGTTTTATTTTAAGGATATGCTACAACTGTAAAGCATCATAATGGCCTCTCCTGTTGAAAGTGTACTATATATTTTCTTACTGGCTTATTTACTTAAGTCATTAAGTATCAGGAAGTTTGCTGTTTGTAATTATATCGGTAGTATAAAGCATCCTAATTTTGTCTGCAAGATCTAAAGACAGAGAAGCAGTCTCAATTTTCAACCCAGGTACTAAAAAAGGTATACAGATGGCTGATAAAACATAAAACATGTTCACTCTTAGTAGCCATGAGGGAAATGAAATCAAAATCATACTTCACATCCATTATGATGACTGCAAGTTAAAAAGATAATAAGTTTTAGCAAAAATGTAAAGGAACTGGAGCCCTCATACACTGCTAGTGGGGATGTAAAATCATGCAGCTGCTTTGGAAAACAGTCTGGTAGTTTTTCAAAATGTTAAATATATAATTAGCATTTGACAAAGCAATTTCACTGGTAGGTTCATACCTAAGAGAAATGAAAATGTACATCCACACGTACACAAATAAATGTTCACTGCAGTTTTACTCATAATAGCCAAAAGCAAAAACAGCCCAAATGTCAATCAACTGATGAACAGATGAGTAAACTGTGGTACATCTATACAATGGAATGTTTCTCAGCAATAGTAAAGAATGAAATATTGAAATAAGCTAAAACATGGATGAACCATGAAAACAGTACACAAAGTCAAAGAAGCAAGTCACATTAGATCACTTATTCTCTAATTTCCTTTTTGTGAAATCTCTAAAGACATAAAGTAGATCAGAGGTTGTCTGTGGTTAGGGAGCATAAAGGGAGAGAATGGTTGTGTGTGGTAAGGGAGA